AAAGAATTGAAGCATTTTGAAAAATGCAGGGAAATAGATTATCGACGTTAGCACCCTACTTTAAACTTAGCATCAAAATAAAAAACAGTCGTCTCAGAAAGAGCTGAAACGATCAAACCGTGGAGGAGCAGAGCAGAACTGGTGAGCCATGCTGTAACTGTTACCTAAACTGAAATAAAAGGCGAAGACTAGAAAGAGTTACAAGAACACGTCAATTTTTTCTTTTCGATAATGAGAAATACACGAGTCGCCCTGATGATGGAGGCAGCAAGGACCTGTGAAACGTCGGTAAGCTGTTACCAGACTACACGGCGCAACAACCCGGAAGACAAACATCTTCAGAGTCACCGTCGTAAAAACCTCAAATCCTACTTTTGTTTAACAGGGAAAGTTCTTGGTATTTTCTTTGTTGTGTTTTGTATTTTGGTCTATCCTGTGTTCTCTGGCCGTAATCACGAGGTCCTCGCCAAAAGGTATTTTAGAAGTGATGATAATTTATTACTCATCAGCTGTGCGGCCAATCCGTGAAGCCACTCATTTCAGTAAACCAATGTCTCTTGTGTTTAACACATTTTCACCCAAAGTCAAATTCGTTCAGTTCATTGTTTCCTTTTCTCTGGATTAGGCTCGATCTCTCGAATGATTTCTTCCTGCTCGTCGCTGTGGAACGATTTGCAGTTTTCTGTCGCTTTGCCATTCTGCTCAGTTTCATGCAGTAAAAAACAGTATCTGGTGCGTACTTTCTGTTGGGAACGATGTCTTCTGGCAAGGAGCTTATCTCTGAGCACATTAACCCATTAACACTTGATCTCACATTTGCTGATTTACTTTTATTCATGTGAAAAATGAAAGGAAATCAGAATGTTGTGTTAGGTTATGTTCAGTTAGGTTAGGTTAAGTTCAAGTTCAGTGTTTCTGTGATACTGTGCCTTGTTGGACTACTTTTATTGAGTCCAAGGGCTGTAACATAAGTTTCCTGTGATGAGGTAATTCTGGCTTAACATTTCCAGTTAGTTAACTAGCATTCAGAAACTACTGCAATTTAGAATTATTTCTTTGACATAATAATTCTGAACACACTTCGTAACATATAACCCCACAACTTCTTATCCTAATAACAGTTTGACATTCCTTCTGTGTAAAAATTTGAACGATTACCGGTTACCTTGTTTCCAGTAATTTTTTTTACGTTCCCTTCGAATTCTTAGAGAAAGTTGGAAATCTGGATACGCGGATGCAAACCTTAGTTTAGGCCCAACTTCCTTAAGGAAATACAGGCTTAAGTCAGTGTGCATGTCCCTCCTAATAACTTTTCGACCAACTGACAGATTTTCATGTAACTTGACAAGAACAAGCCCTTTGAGATATATCTCAACTTCTGTACGTTTCAATTTACTGCCATCATCATGGTCATGGAATTTTTGTGTTGTAGACTAATGAAGCTTTCTTAACTACCTCAGCGGAGTAGAGTCCTTTTTCAGAAGTTAATAATGCCCTCAGCTAGTCTAGAAACTACTCACATTTTAAAGAACACGGAGATTCATTATCGTGTTTACTGCACCGGTCTCTATTCTGAGCCAGATATATCTAATCCATGCCCAAAACTCGATTTCTCTAAGATTTATTTTAATATTATTCTTCCACATACATCAGAGTTTTCCGAGTTGATCTCTTCCCTTCAGGATTTGCAAACTAAAATTTTGTATGTATTTCTCATATCTGATGTGCGTAGTAAATGTCCGCTCATCTCGTTTTACTTTGTTCTTAATTTTCTCGTGAACCAATTTCTGATCTTCATCGTGGTTCCTAAATATTTGAACATTGCCACATTCCTATGGATTTTTTAGCAACCTTTGTACAATAATTCCGTCCTGCATATTAGTGGTGCTGAGACGAATATGTACTAACTTTTCTCCACCTTAACATCTAGACCAGGGGTCGGCAAACTACGGCCCGTGGGCCAAATCCGGCCCGCCGCCTATTTTTGTACGGCCCGCGAGGTAAGAATGGATTTTACATATTTAAATTCTTTGAAATTTCAAACTGCTTTGTGCATTTCCCATGCTGTCAAAAATTAAAAGAAGTGAAATCTCCATTCCCGCACAAATTTGCAGCGGATATATTTTCTGAACTCAAAATACAGTTCCAGCAGCGTTTTTCGGATCTTGATGCAAGTGCAGAAGACATTTCCATATTTCAAAATCCATTTGACTGTACAATTGAGAAGCTTCCACCTAACCTTCAATTGGAAGTAAATTAATCTGCAGTGTGATCACAAGCTTAAAAGCAAATTTCAAGAGAAGAATCTAACAGAATTCCATAAATGTCTTCCAAGCGATGAATACGGTCAATTAAGATCATATGCTCGGGGATTTATATCTGTATTTGGCAGCACCTACCTGTGTGAAAAGACAATTTCAAAGATGAAATATGTAAAATCTCAATACAGGTCAGCATTTACGGATAAACATTTACAATCAATTTTGATGATAGGGAGTACTGAATTTAAACCTCAGTTTGGTGAAATGTTATCTCATAACAGGCAATTCCATTCTTCTCATTAGTAGAGCTGTATTTCAAACAATTGTAGTCTACTTAATATTATTACGTTACATTTTGTTCAATAAATATGATAAAACTTGGTTTGTTCTTGTTACATAAGTAGGCTTATCTATATAAATATCTTCGAGCTTGCCTCTTGGCCCGCAGCTCCTAAAATATTTGCTATATGGCCCTTTAGAAAAAATGTTTGCCGACCCCTGATCTAGACCAACTTCATCACTATCAGAGCTGATATATTTTACAAGGTGTTCTTATAAAGAGAAAAAGTTTATGCTTTCTTTTTACAAAATTACAAAAATAATATTGTGGATAATAAATTCTTCTTGGGCAACAGGCCGTGTAAGGTAGTTTAATGCAGAAAACACCAACGTTTCAAGTAAAATCTTTATCCTCATTCTCAGGGTACTGTGGTCAGATCATAAATCAGTAAGAATGTGGCTTTGCGAATCTCATTTTCCACTTTCGTAAAAAATCATAAAAATACTCACAACTTCTGCATGGAGCATTTTTATGTGTTGACAAAAACAAACATAGCGACATAAGAAATATTTCACACTTTTTGGGACAAATTTAAAGTCCATAATTGGAATCTGAACACGAATTAAAATTTTACAGATAAATTAATATTCACGTTCATAAACTTTAAATTATGGATCGTAGTAACCTCACGATGCATTTGAAGTAAATTATATCGGTCAACTTATTTGGGCCCCTAGGTAGTCGGGAATCAAGCTGCGCTCTGTGAGGTCTTTACGCGTGAATTTTAAAGTGTACTAAAAAACATAAATATTAAGGAATACATTAATTGAATTGATCGTACAAAAATAAGGGAAAATTTTTCGAAATAAACTCTGTGATGACGGATATTAGTGACAATCGTGTGTGTGATATCGACACTTTGTCTAGTGTTAGGCCATGTTAATATCTCACATGGCTGCCAACTGCAACGTATTTAATTGCTTTCTCAAAAGTTCCTTGTAGGCTTAAGTTAGGCAAACCTGACAGATTCGTCATATTTAAAGTCAGTGGTGCTCATATCTGAGTTGTGTTCAGCTCAGAATAATGTATTTTTTTCTTGTTCGGCTGCTTTCAAAAGTAACTACATATTAAATTATATAAAACTAATTGTATGTCTTCTCTTACATGAATGCAAGACCTTCGCTCTAAATCAGATGGAAGAAAACACGGCTTTTCAGACTGAAGTCCTGAAAAGTCTACATGGATCTAAAATAGCGAGAACTTGACTGCATTAATGACGTCATAAATTCTGTTTACCTACAAGGTCTGTTGACTGATTATTGGGCTGTTATAGCGGTCGCAGTAGCTTTTGGCCGGTGGAATATTCAAGGGGAAGGCTGGGAGTGAGTCACTTGTACGATAGTGTAACGTTTCGTCTGCCACCAGGAAGGACGAAGAACTTATCGGACTGAACGCCCAAACAAAAGAAATACACTGACCGTGCCACCTCAAGTACACAGAGTAGCTCTTCCTAAAATCTGTAGTTGGATTCATCTTCTAGCACCTGATCAATTTTAGCTGAAGAAAAGAAATTATGAACATCCTCGTCATGTATGAGGTTTTCACGGCTCTGAGTACGAAGCTGGCTGCCTTCTGGGTTGTAGAACATTGCAGTCTGGTAAACGTTTACCGAAGTTACAAAGGTCCTTGCTGCCTCCATCATCGGGGTGATCTACCAGACTATACGGCTCTACAACCCAGAAGACAATCATCTTTGTATCCGATTACTTATTTATTACTTAATCTCCCTCAAGTCCAAATTGTCTTCTTACTACTCAGATGCTAATAACCGCCATCAAAACCTGTGGTCCGCCTAGGGTGAGCGAGACCTTCACAACTACATTAAACAACAGTTAAAATTATATGTCTGTATATTTGAATCTTCAGATTCTTTAACGGGGCAAGGGTAAATATAACATTACTAACTGCACAGTGGCCGCGCGGTCTGAGGCGTTGGCCTTGTGCCGCTTGGTCGCTGGGACCGTGAGTTCGAATCCCACTCAAGCCATGGATGTCTGTGTTGTGCTGTCCTGTGTACAAGTAGAGGCCTTGCGACGGGCCGATCCCTCGTCGAAGGAGTCCTACCAAAATGTCTATAGATCAAGCCAACGAAAAGTTGGGACCCGCAGTGCTCAGGCACTTGAAGAACGGGTCGTTCCCAGTATCCCTAGAACTAACTGCACAGTACTATGACCGTCTGAATTCAATATTTTAATTTCGTCAACAGAATAATTTTTTTTCCTTTATCGTCGTTCCAAAAACACTTTTTCACAATTTCAACTAAGTTACTGTACATATTTATTTTTTATTTTGCCCTGTAATAACAAAAATAATAATAACAACTGTACCTTAAGCCACGCCCAGGGTATCTCCAAGTTGCGATAAATAAATCCACTTTTTGCTATTTTCTTGACGAGCAGGTTTCCGACACACTGCAAGGGGGGTTGCTGCAACAACAAGGCAGCAAATAAAACAACTGCCAAGCCAAGGAGCACAACGCCACGTCAGATGGTCCCACCGAAAGCAAAGCCGAGGGAGAGAGGTTTGGTTTGCCGTGACGTCACTTCTGGGAGATACATGGCAGCCCCGTGTTCCTATTGGTCCGAAAACTACTTCACACCCCTCCTCTTTTTAAGCACATTCACCCCTCTCGCTGCGGTTATAAGAACGTATTTTATCAGTCCCCACCGCAACCCTTATACATACATATTTTACGACAAAAAGGGAGAAAAATACCGGTAGTGTACCATCCTTATGGAACCCCATTTTTTAATTAGCGTAAATGCTGGTTAATAGGCCTACTGTAAGATACGAGTATGTTGATACGTGGAGCTGGGCGGAGGGGTTTGAGTACGCGGGGGAGGGGGTATCTGTACATTTCCCTTAGGCTGACAGCGACACAAGACGCATCACGCTAAAATAATGGAGAGTCTAAAGTAAGGTGGGCAAACAGCGATCCGGGAGACATGTTAAGGTTGAGGGTTGTACGCGTGCGAATATGCTCCATTAATTTTGAATTATACAGAATCAAAAAATAGGAGAATACACGTAGTTATGAAGTGACAGGGGTTGGAAGAAATTACTGAAAGATATGTGAAAGACCGAGATAAAAAGGGGTGGATAATGATAAGGGAAGAGAATCATAAAATTAAGATTTTTTATTCTTAGATTAATTATCGCCTATTTTTATATCAACCACCAAGCACGTAATTTGTAAACCTACAATTCATTACTTGGTTGCTTCGAAAATCAATATTAAATGTGACATTTTAAAATTTCAACTACAGTTTAGGGAAATAAGTTTCGATAATAAGAACGAGGAAGAAGAATTCCAGATGGACTTTTGTCTGAGCCGAAACTACGACTCAAAATCAACACTGAATTCGAGATTTCAGGCTATCGCTGCGGTGAACATGTCGATATTTGTCTGTTGAGTAGTAACGTCATGTGGACTTGTTGGAAGATACCAACATTTCGTAAAAGAAACGTACCGTCTACATATTCAGGGCTGGAGACAGAAATGGACACTGAATATCTTTAACAATTGAACAATTAGTTGGCACGACCCACTGGAGCCAGTCATATTTGCCTCAGTCAAGCTTATTAACTGTTAAGGAATTGAAATTTCTTGTACCACTTTACAGAGAGTGATAGTCTCATATCTTGTTATGACAAATATCCACAGGATACAAACTGTAGTAAAACATTTTAATGCATGTAAATGTTTTAACTAGCCTATAGTGTAATTATAGACCTATATGTGTTGTAACAAATATATCTAACTGTATACAAATTAACAAATACATTAATCCAATACAACATAGCATAGAAGTAAGGTTAAGTGTCCGTCTACACAACAATTATTGGTTATAGTTTCAATATTTATTAAGAGACCACATGCAGACGAACATTCAATCTAACTTTCAACACAAAACAGGATGCAGCCCTTAAAAAATAGCATATAATAAATTTGCTAATAACAACATTAATTTAAGCCACTGTAAAAATTACAGCGTAAATAATTACATTTCGAATAGTTTTGATATGTCAAAGGATTGGAGCTCTGTATTGGATTTACGATAAAGGGACACTTTGTTGTCGAAACATATCGCTAAGAAAGGTTAAAATATAATTAGTATCAACTGATAATTCCTCATGTAGACGGTTACAACGCGTAAGGTTAATGGCATCTATCTCTAAATGGGACAGCTTACCTAAGAACATGTATTTCCCAATTTCGTTCGATGCTAGATAGCATTTGCAGTTGTTACAGCGGCGTTTAACAGCATATAAATAGAACCAAGCAGAAGAATATAAGTTATTTGATATTCCAACTACAAAGACTGGAGTATGACCACACCTTCGTTTCGGGAGTACACTAGGGTAGACGCAAAACACTAACTAAAGCACAGAACCGAGCAAATGGATGTCACAACCCTAAGATCTAACAGTTTCCAAAATAAATATAGCGCATAACAGAGACTGTTTGTTTCCCATTATTTTTCAACGACACAAAACTGAAATTATGACAAGCGAATGGAAAATTCTGACAACCAGTCTTTTAATTGCATCCCTCTATGAAAACAGAAGCGGAAGGTGTTGACAGAAAGATATATTTTTGTTCAAAAGGTTTCAGAATCTACACTGTAGTAGGCTATCCAGTTAGGAAAAGTGAGTTTTCCACGCCCAGATACACCCCCAATAGTTCTGTTCGTTCCAAAGCATCTCGTTTCATCTCAAACTCACCCCTGCCCATGTTTGGTGTGAATACTAAATATCACGTCCGCCCTTGTTAATGTAGACCTAGAAACGATAGTCATTCAGCAGAGAATAGATTTTTAAAAAAATAAATCCATCTCTCATACTTTTTTCCGTTGCTACGATTGAGACAGATGAAGCCGATCCTCATGAGTGCGCACGGTCCAATGTGCCTGCAAATGTAAGCCTCTCGAAAGCCGCTGTATATCGATGTCTTTCTTTAGAGAATCCTAATAAACAGCAGATGCCATGTTTTTAATCAGGCTGAAGCGTCAAGAAGACACCACAATTACCAAGCTCAGTTCAAACATGAAAACTTGAACAATTATTTATAAGAAATATCGTGGCCGATGTAAGATGGAATATGACATCACGGAAAGCGAGGTCGTGTAGTCTGGTAGAAGTGGAGCAAGGTCTTCTGAAACGTCGGTAAACTTATACCAGACTACACGGCGCAACAACCCAGAAGACAGCCATCTTCAGACTCACCGACGTGAAAACCTCAAATCCTAGTATGTAATCCTGTGTCAAATCATTACAGCATGAACATTCGTGTGACACAGAGGTGAAATTCCATTCAATCCCACCTTGGGCAGTTCTTTGAAGTAAATTGAGATTAGCAGTTTCGAACAAATAAGTTTTATGTTCAAAGTTCAGCTGTGAGTTCCATACTTTCTCGAAAGAGACCGGTAATCTCAATGACTTTTCTGCGTTCATACCAGAAATGTC